TTTTTCTTCTCTTTTTGTTTTTCATATTTCAATTTTTTTTTTCGACAATACTTTCAGGTTCCAAAGAGGGTAATAAAAGAAAAGTAACCGGCTCAAAGGGTTTGCAAAGGGTTGATAGTGTTTGGGTAGAGAGAATAAAAGCCTTCTTCATCTCAACCGGAGAATATTTATGTTATATAGAGGATCCAACATAGTACCTTTGTCTGCATTTGCATTGACATTTGTTTCAGAGACATTTCCTTCGATATGCCCCAACTACAACGCACTCTTTTGGCAGTACTCTTGTTGCAATGTATGGAGCTTTCCACTCTGGAACCAATTTTCCTTCAGCTGTTCCAACTCTTTGTTTTATTTCCTCAAACTCATCTTCTTTGCGTTTCGACTCTTGATTCATTATTTCGAGGTCTGACAGCTTTCAGGATCTGGGCATGAAGTCCGCAAGCATGTCATGTTATTGAAATCTGCATTTAACAGAACTGAAAAGAGAATAAGAAAAACAACAAGATTAAGAAAAGAGACATTCCTGGACAATGAAATATTAATTTCGTTTGATTTTTGACTTTCTTTTTTTTTGATTTTTTTTTTTGATTTTTGAAGGGAGAAGGTTTTTCATCGGAAAGTAAGACAATAGAGTAAAACATGTGGATCATTTCCTGAGATCATCCGGATGCAAAAAGGATAGCAAGACTGGCTACTAAGACTCCCGTCTGATGACTTCCATGCTTGGAGACCATTTTTGGCTTTTCTTCTGTCTGGCAATGACTGCAATGGCCTTCAATGCCGGATCAAATTCCTCAACTTCATCCGACTATTGGCCCGATGTTGTGGACAGGCAACAGATGGTTCATCACATCAGGAGTTTCTTCATCCCGAAAAATGATTCTTTCAGCTTCAATCAAGTCTTCAACTGCCCTCTGGTCCAACAGTCCTTTGTACTGTGCCCCACTGCTCCAGAGTGGTATTCACATCTAGCATCGGCTCGGTGCGAGGGGGACTCGGGGTTTGGCCGGTTTGGGGCCACTGGCTGCAGCAGACCTCGCCTGACTAGCTTTTGGAACAAACCCAAGTATGATTCACCAACAAGGGGTGAAGTGATTCCTTTTAAAAGGCTCTTTCGGGCGAGGATTGTACTGGGGAACATTTGATTGGGGATTACATGGAGCTTGGTAAGGATGGGCATTTCTGGGAGGTGGAGCTCGGTTTTGTGTATAATGTCGTGGCCGCTTGCAAGGTTGCGTGTTCATCACCGCATACCAACAAAACCAACCACCTGAACAGAACCTGGCTAATTTGCTCACACCAACAAACTTGTTAGTTTTGAGACATTTAACATATAGGAAATCGCACGTTGGGATGCAATGTACCTAACAGTTAAATACTTCTACCGTGTGTTTGAACGGTTGCATGTTTCATCCCGGCCTTAACTAACCCTTTCAATATGTACCTCTCTTCTTTTAGTTTTTTGCATCTCTTTATTCACTCTTGATTTTTTTTTCATCTCGTTTTTGCCGCTCTTTTATTTTTGTACTCTTTTTTCTCTTTTGTTTGTCACATTTTTTTTGACGCTCTTTCTTTTTCAATTTTTCTCTCTTTTTCTTTCAAATTATTTTTCACTCAGTTTTATTTTATAGCTATGATCGAATCCGATGGGGATTGCCTACGTATCATGACCCCGCATGAATCAGATCTCGTGTAGTTCGGGAAGATTGGGAATTGAGTAAACTAACTCTTCTTTTTTTTTATAAAACTCAGACCATGGAGCTTTAAGGCAAAAGAAAAATATTTTTGATTTTTTGATTTTTTTTCTTTTGGAATCTTCTAAAAATGCTTTAAAAGAAAGACTTCTAAAAATTCCTTTTCTTTTGATTGGAACTTTGGGAATTTCAAAAGTAAAAAGAAAATATTTTTTTTTTGAATTTTTCATTTGTTTTCTCTTTTTCTAAGGAAGAAAGAAAATATTTTTGGATTTTGGATGTAACCTCTTAATTTTCGAAAGAGGGACATTCTTTTTTTAAGAAAAATATTTTGAATTTCTGAGCTTTTATTTATTACAAAAGTACTTCTAAAGAAAAGCAAAAATATTTTTTTTGGACTTCAAGTTTTCAAAATTTTGTTTTTATTGATATTTATGAAAGAAAGACATCTAAGAAGTATTTTTTTTTTTGGATTTTTTGTTTCTGATTTTTTTTTGGATTTTTTTTTTGGAAAAATACTTCAAAATGAAGGAAATCCGTATTTTTGGATTTTGATTTTTATTGATTTTTCTTTTTTCGTATGAAAGACATTAGAAAGAAGGAAACCATTTTTGAGTTTAAAAAACTTCTTTTTTTTTTTTTAGGTTATTTTCTTAATGTAAAGATTTCTAAAGTAAGGAACTAAAAGTAAAAATAATTTTTGGAATTTTTGTAAAAATTGGGTT